TTTCCATGCCTGTGGGCCCTGCATGTGTTGTGTATGGATGTACTGGTTATGCTTGGGAGGCGGTTGAATGCTGCGAACACGCGATCCGTGGCAAATTCAGCTGGGCTAGCGGCCAACCGAGGGCCAGGCTTACAAATTTGTTGCTGTTTCTCTATTCTGATGCCGTGTGGCCGGGAATTGCAATTCCAGCGTGCCTCTTGCTTAACGCACGCATCAGGTCGCATGTTCCAGCGCACGACGCCAGCGACCGAACGATCCCTTTCGTGGGGGTCCTTTTTTTTCGTTCCGTGCTCAGGAGCTATGGCTTCATGATTGGATTCTCATGGGAGAAGGCTTATGCGGAGGCCTCTCATCTACTGCGCCTTGGCATCTCGTTTTTTTTTTTTTTTGTTTGAATTTGAAGAGGAAGCCCGATGGGCACCATGGTTCCAAAGCATGCAAACTCTTGCATGCTTGTTGCAACTGCATGTCAACCGGCTACAATGACCCGGAGGCCAGTGTTTGATGAAATGCATTCTTCGAAGTAAGAAATCATTTGTTCGGACAGCTTAGGAAGATCGGCAACTCGTTCTCATTGTTCAGATGTGTTGACTTATGCTAGCACCATCCATTGATTGTTGGCACGCTACGAGAAATCTACCAGCCCAAGTTTATGATGAGCTTCTTGCCAGTGCCTTGCTTTATGGATCCTATCATGTGTATGTTGCTAGAATATGGTCAAACAACTGGATCAGGGTGTTAGACAATGTTAGTCTTGCTCTCCTGCCGAACGATGTTGTCAGTTTTCAATATCCAGCCCCGTCTGTCAGTTTGCATGCTTTTATTCAGTTCTACTAGTTAGCAACACAGGAAGTATGGTCAGTATGGTTGTTGCCCCCAAGTGTAGCCTCATCCAACAATCATGGACGGGACACAACAAGATTTGGGAATGTTTCAGCGATTCTGTTGTGTTGTGTTTGCTTTTTAAGGAGGTATCATGGTGTACCACGTTTCCATTTGTGTGGCTTCTCAATTCCATTATGGCTGAACATAAGCCCGCGGCCTATTGATTTGACTTGGCTTGTCGAAGTCAGAAACTCGGGAAGGCTATTCTTAGTTTCTCATGTTCTTCTGAGAGTCTGAGACTGGTGAAATGCGATCCTTGGAGCCTGACCGGTGCCCCTTTTGGATCAGCCCACTTATCAAGCCACATTCGACTCTCACTCCCTTGCTGGGAGACTTGCATTTCCTGAGGATGGGCGACAACAAGCAAAGCGTCCGCCTCAGCGTTTGTCAGCATAGACAGACAGCTCACGCAAGAAAGGCGCCAAGTGGATGTCCCTTTTTCCGTACCGCCGTTATTGTGTACTTGCGTAACGCGGAAGTCCAGGGTGATTTGCTTGTGATGAAATTGACGGATGCTGTGAGGGTCTCACAACCCTTGGGAGATCAACGTAGTTGGCGGTCAAATTGGCCAATGTGACGAGGCAGACACCAACAACTATTCCCGATTGCTGCGCATATTGGGGCTGCAGCTGTCATTTGGTCACAAGATCGCCCCAGTTGGTGGTGTCAAGATGAGATTACATAATGAGCACCATTTCAATCCGAGGCATCCTAAGAGTAAACGTCTCCACTTTCAGTTGGGACCAATCCCTGGTTCGTGCCCTCACTCGGCAGCCGAGGCGCAAATAGCACGGCCAATCCGTGGAAGGAGTCCATGTTCAACCCGGAGTTCTGTTTCCGCGTGGCCATGTGCTTTGCTTTGGTGCCCCTGCGATATGAGTGTGTGTGTGTTTTCCTTCAGATTGGTTACAAGAGAAGCTAATGGAAACCGTAGCCCATGTTTGTGTTCTCCTATTTTGACTCATAGTCAGGTCGAGCCGTGGAACAGGAAGAACACACGGATTAATTTGATCGCTGAGTTTGGCTTCACTCCACTCCACTCTTGCTGGATGATGCATTGACAAGGCCAAGAAGCGTAGCTTTTCGCACTGGCTTGCTGATGCCAATGATTGTGGCGACGAGCAGGCTGTTTGATGTCATGGCTAATGGAAAGGAGGCCCGCCCTGTTTGGCCAGCAATGATGTTGAGGTCGTCAGTTCCCTTGAACATTCAGTTGGTCATGACAGCGATGCGACTGGCTCGGCTGCAAACTAAGCTGCCAATGGCTCCAGCAACAAATTGGAGCCATTGGGATGTTCAGCTCAACTCACAAGCCAATGCTTGGAAAGGGCAAGCACCAATTCCAATATCTTCAGTGGCAGCTGAACTCACACTAGCATGATGTCCTTGTGGAGCCGAGAACTGGTGCTCATTCAGCGTGTTTTTTGTTTGTTCAACCCCGCGTGATGTTTAAGTTACGGCTGAACAAGTAGACTGGTTTTTGTCAGCGACGTATTCTTCAGCACTGTACTCGCCATCATCAACTGTCTTTGGCTGGCTGAGGAAGGGATTCCGCTTGCACAGGTACTCGTGATGTTCCCGGGCTGGCGTTTCCTGATTCTTCCGCATGCTTTAAAGCCCGTGCCCCCCCGGGAGCAGGCAGCGAAAGACTGCGTGAAGTGATGGCCCGGCATGCTGACATGGGTATGTATTTGTTTTTTTCTTTGGAAGTGTTCTGTTCTTTTTGTTTGTTTCAAGAGGGAAAGCAGCAACCAAAGTAGAACTTGTTTCCCGGACTTTCAGACACGCCCAAATGGCACCGTGAGGGCCTGTCCTTTATCCGCAACTAAGCGTTTGGCGCTGGCAACGAGTGCGCCAGTCGAGAATGTTTCACAGCTGAACGTCCACAGAGCTTCATGAAGCATTGGGCCAGAAAGTTCTTTGCGGCTTGCAAAGACTTGCTTGCACCAAGCAACCAGTGCATTCCACTAAGTGCACTGCACCAAGTGCATTGAAAGCAGGTCTTTGCAGCGTCTTTTGCCGAGCGGCATTGTCGTACGTGATGCCGCGTACTCTCCCTGAATTCAGCAGGGTGGGAGCTGCTTGTCCTGATCTATCTAGGTTCAGGAGGAGCAAGGAAAAAGTGCTATCTTCTGACGGCGAAACATGCTAGCGATGTTAGAAGCCGTAATCAAGGCTGGCTGATTGCCGACGGGTTTGTTTGACCCATGATGCTTCAAAAGGCACGCCCCGTTCACATCGGTAAAGGTCTTAGTTTGAGATGCGAACGCAACTTCCCATCCTATAGCACCGGTGCGAGAGTTTGTCAATGACCGCAACTCGATTATCAGTTTTTGTTTGCTTTTCTGGCAGCCCTTTTGTGGGTTGGCTTAGAAGACCAAAGGAAGCTGACCTTTTTGCGGGTCACACAGCAGGACCCCGAACCCACACACCACTCAACTGCGATTTTGCTTGGATCTTTAGCCTTTTTAGGCAAATGCGTACTGTTCACTAATCAACAAAAGGTTACACTTTTTGGACTAGCCACCATGACCATGAATTGCCCCTTCGGCGCAGGGCTCGCTGCGCGCGGCGCAGCGTTGATAGCCGCTGCCTCGGTTTGAAGCTGGACGGAAGTTGTTCATGTTGACAGAACCGTGTTTTTGTTTTTACTAGCCCTGGGGCTTAACGGCTGCTTGGTTGGTTGGTTGGTTGGTTGGTTGGTTGGTTGGTTGGTTGGTTGGTTGGTCGGTCGGGCGGGCGGTTGGTTAGGTGGGTGCGCATTCCCCGCATCACCGGCCTCACTCTGAGAGTTGCTCGGGGATGTGTTCGCGTGAGTTTCAGGCTGAGGTCTTAACGAGGGTGGGTCTTGGGTTTTTTGGGGGCTCATTCAGGCTCGGCAAAAGGCTGCTATCCGGGCTGTCGTGAGGTGGGCTTGGGGTTGGCTTTGAGTGTGTCTGGGTTGGCTTGGGGCTGATTTGTGCTAGGTGCGTGCCTGTTTAGCAGCGACTTTGGGGTTGCTTTAGGGTGTGGCAAAAGTGAGTTTTGGGCTGGTTTGAAGTTCGTCGTGGGGCGTTCCCCATCCTGGCCAACCAGGCCCCAACAGAATACCGCGTCTTGCCCCCAACTCCCAACCCGGAATGCTCCTTTGCCAAAGCAAGAGATGTAGTTCAGATGCACCTGGGGGGGCCTTGTGTTGGCCGGATGTCACTGCCCCTTTTGCGCATGCTGCTTTTGGTTTCATTTGGGGAACCACTAAGAATAGTGTCCAACCAACACGGCGACAATCAACCGATCTCTCAGTGGGCAACTAGGGTGCGTGGCGCCATGAAAGTATGATTGCAGTCATTAGGTCTGCCCAGGATTAGCCCAGGTTGAGCCCAAATAAGTCCAGCAGAAGGCCTTAGGCAGGGGTGAACAACGCCCCCACACAGACTCCCTTCAGCTTCTTGTGGAGTAAGCGGATAAGTCATGTCCCGCGAGTCTGCAGGCAACATTTGCATCCTCAGTCTGCAGTGCGCATGTTGAGCCAGTAGGATGTCGGCAAAGACCCTGGGACAAGTTGGATTGTTGGCATGTGTTTCATGCCGGTATTTCGTGCAATTTGGTGAGTGGAGGTGTTTAGTCATGAATCTCCATGATTGCTCATTATGCTGTTTGTTGCTTTGTTGTTTTGTTGTCTGTTTGCTTGCTTGAGTTGTTTTTGCTTTGGGTTGTGTTACTTGTGTTTGTTTCTTCTTTCAATTACTGTCCGCTTGTTTGTTTGCTCCTCCGCGTGTTTGTTTGGCTGTTGGTGTGTTTGCGTCTATGTAATGTATGCAATGTAATGTAATGTAATGTAATGTAATGTAATGTAATGTAATGTAATGTAATGTAATGTAATGTAATGTAATGTAATGTATGTAATGTATGTAATGTATGTATGTATGTATGTATGTATGTATGTAATGTAATGCAATGCAATGTAATGTAATGTAATTTACTGTAATGTAATACTTCATTCATTACCTCATTGAATTCATTCGTGTTTTTTTTGTCGTTCCTTCATGAATTTATCGATCCATGAATTGATCCATTCAGTCAGTTATTCATTCACTCACTCACTCATTGAAGCATTCATTCAAGTATTCGTTCCATTTGTCAGCTTGGGTTTTCTTTCTTGATGTCTTTTGCTCTTGCTTTGTGTCTTTCATGCATGCGTGTGTGCGTGTTTTTTCCTTTCTTCCTGCATTCAGGCATTCATGTGTTTCGTCATGAATTCATTGATACATTTGTTTGTTTGTTCGTATGTCCGCTCGTCCATCCATTCGTTGTTCATCCACACGTTCTCACATTCATTCATACATGCATTCATGCGGGTTTTGTTTGCTTGCTCTCACCGTTCACAACACGTTTTACAACAACATGGCATCACTACTAAATAAACATAAACTTGTGTTGAATTTCTGCAACAGGGGTAGGTGTGCAGTTGAAGGTATTTTGCTGTTTCGATGCAACGGGCTGTCTTTTGAGTCTCATTTGGAATTACTTCATGTTGCCGTCGTGGTCAACTTACCGAACAGACGCACACAAACAGACACTCATCTTGACCGTTGTATGGCTTGGATAGGTCTTTTGCGGCTCGCTTGCCCTGAGAACAGGAATTATCTTCCACGGAGAGTTAAGCACATTTGCTGTGGTGGAGCGCCTCGTCCTGGCAAAATTTGACCGCAGTCGGATGAGAGAGTTCTTGGAAGACCAAGCACAGAACAAAAGAAACGTGCAATGTTTTGCTCACACGTTCGGAATGGGCGCACCTACGCCAAGGTGCATTGGGCGTGGCTATTCCCGCCGTAGTGAAAGTGAAGGCTTCGAGGACCACCGTTGATGACTGCGTTCTTGCAAAGCATTGAGGGGTTGATCAAGAGGCACCGGCAGAAACAAATCGCTGAAGAGGAGAGAGCTGAATCTAAATAGGTAGCCAAGGCACATACAGCGTGCATTCTGCGACCCGTTTTGCTACGAGATAGACGCAATTTCGCAATTCCCGAACCCATGCTGAGATGAGCTTAATCCATTTCATACGGTCCTCGTATTGAGATGTGAAGAGTAACTCCAATGAACACCGGGCTTGGCGAAGGCTTTGTGTGACGGGCCCTTGGTCAAGGACTCCACTTGCAGCGCCCAGTTTTTAGGACTGCGCATTCTAGGAGATTCAATGTGACATCGTCAGGTTGTCCACACTTGGCTATCAGCAACACAGACAATTATAAATTAGCCGTACCAGAGCAACCGAGAGCAACGCAAGCAATGAGAGCAACAAAGGCAACAATCAAAGTCAGCATTCAAAGGCAACAACGAAAGCCAACAAAGGAAGGAGAGAAGTGACAACAAAAGGAGCAACACCAGCATCGACAGCAGCAATAGCACTGAGAGGAAAATAAACCTTGCGAACACCCAGGGCCTGCAGCTTGTGCTGAACGGCTGGTGGCAGCCAACTTCTGACGTCATTAGGAATATTCGGTTCTCAACTACTTCCTGCCGCAGGACAATTCCTCCAATGAGCCTTCAGAAGGCCAGATGTGTGATGCCGAGGGAGGGACATACTGCCTTGAATAGAATCACAGCGGCGATGTTGATGTGGGGTTGCCATTTGTTGACTTTGCACGTTTTGTGATTGGTTTGACCAAGGGAGTCTCACCCGTTGGGGTTCACCACCTTGTCAGATACAAGCACATATTGGACATATGCCGCATCACCTAACATGGCGCACGGTGCATGACCTACAAACACTTTGGCCGCCATTCAAAGTTCAGCAGGACACACGCTGGCCGGCGTTCACGATTCAGCGGCAGTTGGTGTCGAGAATTGTGCACCTCATTGAAATCAAATCTTGCCAGGTGCACAAGGATGAATGTTTGATGAATGGACATCCTGTAAGCTCAATATAGTGTAAGCAAGGTTGTACTTTCACCTGGGAAACATGAGGACCCACATGACAGGCAGGCTGGCTTTGCTCCAGCCTGGGTTTGCAAAGGGGCAGGCTCCTTTATTGGGTTTGCCTGTCAAACGGTTAAATTTCAGCATGCAGGCCATCGAAGAAGGGTGGAACAAAAGTGATTTGCCCGTTTCATTCTGAAGGAGGGAGCCTAGTCAAAGGAAAATCAGTATGTAGCTTAAGTACGGCAGTGCGGGCTCCTGTTCAATCATAACCCGACCTCTTGAACAGATCTCTTCAGCAATATTGGTTTCAACCCGAACGGAGTGCCTTGTGCTAGGCGCCAGGATTGTTGACCCGCTTACCAGGTCTAAACAAGCATTGCAGCATTGCAAGGCTTCCTGCAGGGCCCCATGTACCATTTTGCACTGTGTGGTAGTTGTGTTTCCAAAATGGCTCACCTCAGTGCTCGCGCCTTTTGTGCCTTATTGCATTCAGAAGCTACTGAAATAATTGTTTCCCTTGGCGTTCCCTTTACCATTGAACACGGGATTTCACAACTTTTGGTCAATTTGAGAGGCCCTCTTGAAGTCCATGACTCACGGAAGCCGATTCCATTTGACTGCTTTGCTCAGGTGGTTTTTCTGCTCATCGTGCAGCTAAGGGTTCTCCCACGGGTCTGAAGCCCTGGCCGAGTGAGCAATGAGGTTTGGTCAAAATACGCAGATTGATCTATGGTCAATTTGGGAGGGTGGTTGGAGGAGCTCGAACAAATTCACAAAAACCGGGGGACTCACACATCGCCCTTC